TCATGCTCCATACTCATGCTCAAAACAGAAAAACAGAAACGTCAGTAAGAAATATATCTACTTTTCAACCAAATCTAGTTGCTTGCATTTTTTTACAACAGTTTGCTAGAAATCTTGAAAAAGACAGAGCATCAAGAACCAGCCAATATTTTTGTCTACCATCCACAATAGTCTGACTTAATAATCAGAAACTTGTGTAACTAGTTTTTGTCGCACTAGTATTGTTGTCGCCTACCATATGCAAAGCAGTAAAACACTGAATCCAAGCAACTATTTTCTACTACCACCCACTCACCTGTAGTTAAGTTGCAATTATGAAGGTTTTTTAGGAACAACTTCTCTTCTGGGGGTATGCCCTGGTGCGATCGCAAATATTTAGTCAATGAAGGTTTCTCAATCAATGGATGGTTATGCTCAGCAATAAAATAAGTGACCTCCCAACGGCCATCAATCAATTTTACTATCATCTTGGCTTTGCACCCAGTCTGTATTATCTTTTCTCTTTTCCATTTCTTCCTCTTCTTCTTTTTGTCAGCAGCATCATCAGTAAACACAATTACATTGTCTTCTCCATCATCAACATTCCCACCTTCAGAAGGATCTTCTAGCATTTCAATGCTAGGTGCGGTCACAGTACCGTGGTCATCGTTTTTGGGTTTGCGAAACTTGTTGCAAACAAACTGGTACTTGTCTATTTCGCTAGTAACAGTAGACCGTCTGGAAGTGTTCATCTTGATTGAAAAACCCACATGCTGAGCATAAGCATTATAGTGTTCTCTTGCACCTTGCAAAGTGTCAAACCTTGTACCTAATGAAGGTTCCTTTGGCTGGGACCACACTTCATCATCGTTGTCAGCGTCTCCCCCTACACCCTCATGCCCATCAGTCCCACCTGTTGCACCCAAAGTATCTGTGTCATCAAGTGTGTGCTCTTCTATGTGCATTGCTTGCATGGCAGGGTCAGCAACATTCTGCGTGGTTGGAGGGTTTGAAGAGTCAGACACGAACTCATGGATATTGTTCAGTAGGGGTGCCTTTTGCGTAGAAGGTTGTGTGTAGTACATGGGCTCAATGTTGTCCACTCCAACATTGGCTGGCAAGTCCCAATTAAGGTCATCCGACACTTCATTAAGGTCAATCATCTCCTGCATAATTGGCAAATAATAAACACACAAGCTAGAAGATGGAATCAACTACTGACCAAATAAGTAGGAATAATACATCAACTTCAGGCAACAAAATCAATCAACACACAATGTCTTATTTCATATTTTGCATGCACCAATCAATACAACAGAATCAGAGATGACAAATAACCGTTTTTCTTTTTTTTCAGGTGGAGAAATCAGGGTCAGGGGGAAAGAGGTGCAGATGAATGTTGAGTGGGAGTATTATCAGAAGAACATAAGATGACAATCCCAGTGAATCTCTAGTTTGCAAATGTATTGGAAAGTGTTGATATATTTTGTAGTAGTATAACTACTAAATGACTTGTTTTGTGTTTTTGTTCCTCAAATTATGACCAGTTCTTCTTTTTTAATTGGGGTTCTTCACCCCAGGTGTTTCAATGTCATGAGCACAACCATCCCATGGTTTTCGCCTCATTTTTCCCACTTCTCACACACTTGCAGTCTAATAGGGGTCGTGAGCTGGAGCAGCAGAAGGTGGCACCAACCACAAGCCCAAGGTACTGTTATCACAATCTTTGAACATAGCATTTTCCATCATAGTTGGGCAGCACAAGCACAAGCACAAGGTCACAAACAACAAACACTTTGCTCACCATGCACATTACTTTTGCCTAAGCACATGAATACTTGCCATGAGTAATGTGGTAACAGGTGGCAAGCCTGGACAGTCTTGAACTTGCTCATACCGACACATTTTCTATAGTTGCTTGCATTATTGGCAACAATTGCCTACTCACCTGACACACAATTGCTTGAAACAAAGATGCTAGTAAGAACATGAACCTAGTTGCTTGCATTTTTAACAACATTTGCCCACCAACCTGACATGCTCTTCTCATTTTCTTTTTTTGCTCGAAACAGAAACGCTAGTCCAAATATTTTTTCCTAGTTGCTTACATTTTAAACAACAATTGCCTACCATTGATGCATACTCTTGATAAAAAATCCTAAGAAATACATCTACCACATCTACTTTGCCTTCAAGAATTAGAAAACTAATATGGTTTTTGCACTTTCTGTGTTTGTTGCCTACAATGTGCACCAGTTTTGTTGCCCTAAACATGTTGAACTTGTTTGCTCGTGCTTTGCAATACATTTGCCTACTCATCACAGATCTCGTTGCTTACTTTTTTATCCTCTTTCTCCTTCTCTACAGAAGAACAACAGAGCATAGAGAAGACTCATCTTGGACATATGGTAGGGGGAGGGGAGGGGTAGGGGGTTGGGAGTGGAGGTTGTGGGAGATCCACCATGAAGAAAGAACAGGGAGAAGGGTAAAAAAACACACCTCTATTCACAGAAAACAGTTGATCTTTTTTGAAGCTCTAGTGTTTCAGATCCATGGTGATGTGTAGGCAGGAGGTTTCCTTGGGGTAGAAGAAGGGGAGATATGGGGGAACAGGTGGAGAGAATGGTTCCTTGGGAGAGAAGGATGGGCAGAGAGGAGGGGAAGCACGTGATTGCGAGGGAGGGGCAGGTTGGAGGAGAGATGGTGGCCACCAGTCTCGTCCTCCCATCGTGGCGTGGGATCGTGCGCGTATACACTGGGGGGGGGGACCAGAAGTTTCCTTTTTTGCTAGGGGGACCAGAACTTTCCAAATCTGGCAGGTTGCCAGGGATCCTTACCCAGCACTCAGTTGCTGCCTAGACGCGTCCATTCTTTTTTCAGTTAAGGTATCTTGAGTTAGCTGACGGTGGACTTTTGCCGTCCTTCTAGAGTCATCCAGGCTGCCCAACTGTTCCAACGCCTCATCCAACAGTATTGCCGTCCGGTGATGGCTAGGGGGAGGTTTTTGGGTCCTCCTTGTGCAGATTAAGGTAGTAGTAGCCTTAGTTGGTCTTGACTTTTATTTCGTGTTTTAGCGATATGTTGTTGGAATGTCAGTCGTCTTCTTCCTGGCCCCCATGGTGGAGGAAAGCAAAAGACGCCGGATCTAGCAATATCCCCCTCAATAAGCTCACATCATTGATATCACAAATTGGTGGCAGTTAGTGAGATGTTGTTGTCTAGTTGTAGAGGTGATGGTAGGGGGAGATGTGTCAGATCAATTCCAAGCGCTCCTTGCCTTGTTATTGCGTCGTATCTGTGCGACTGGCTTTGGCTTGGTCGGTCCCTGTGTTGTAGGAAGAAGTTCTTCGGCTCGCCTTGTTTTTGTAGGAAGATCAAGATGCGAGGTGGTGTTGTTGGGGACAAAGCTTCGGATTACCGTATGCGCCCATGTGGAGGTGAGTGTTTGATTTGTTTCGACGTGTTAGTCGATTTGTTTTGGTTGAAGGGTGGTTAATTTTCTTCCTTCTCAAACACGATGCCACATGGAAGGCATATCCTTCAATCATAGCTCATGCCGTGCAACTATGGAGGCTTCGCTAGAGCAAATGGTTGCATCTCGGCGCCGATGAAGTTGGTCCTGCAAGAGGGGTGTTTTGGACCCGATGTATCTTTGTTTTGGGTCATTTTCATAAAGTGCAGACACTTGGTTGTCATTTTTTTGTTTCATGTTGTAAGATGATATGTGCTTTCGCTTTGATCAGAGGGTCCTTCGAGACTCTGTTTGTTACCTCCTATGCGTTGAACAAACTTTCATTTTATACCTTTCTCTTCTCTTTAGGGATCATGTAGTTGGTTTCTACTGTCCCAAGAAAAGTTAGGGTTCCTTTGTCTCCTGTTGGCGGCGCCGCCGGTCTGCCACGTCTCCGGTAGTCTTAGGTCCATGGAGGCGTGGTGGATCCCGGCCTTTGCCGGCAGGAGGGCTCCGTTTTCAGACGTTTCTTTGAGTTTTGTTAGAGTTTGTGCCCTGCTCAGGAAGGTGGGACGATGACGGCTCCCTGAAGATGGAATAAAGTTTTTCCCCGCTTAGCTTCCATCCCAGTGGTGCGTCTAGCATCTCCGGTGGGCATGTGGAGGTATGTCTCTGATGGATCTGGTCGGATCCGGTCGTCGTTCGTCTACATTCATGTGTCTTCAGGTTTGTTCATTTTGATCTGTGCTATTATTCATCCTGCGGAGGGTGATGTTCTGGTGTGTTGGTCTTATGGGGCCTTAGCACGACGATTTCCCGACTGTCTACTACAGTAAGGGAGGGGCCATGACGGCGGCGTGCCTTCGGCTCGCTTCAGTGCTTGTAACTGTCGCTAAGTGGTCTATGGATCTGGATGTAATTTTTATTATTTCTAGTTTTCGTTTCACTGCCATGATTGAAGATAAATGGATCGGAAGTTTTTTCCGGAAAAAACCCTCTTTGTTTGTTAGAAAAAAGAGTTTTTGCACACAGGTCCTTGATACTTGTGCATTTATCCGTCCTTTATTATCAAGGCCCCTTGAAGCGTAACGGGCAATTCATCGAACGCCTGTCACCATGGACGCGCCTCCCCCCACGCAGCCGGACGCGGCGGCGCCGCCCCCCTCAACAGCGGCTGCGGCTCCCCCTGCCGCGCCGCCGCCCAATCCCGCGCCGCCCATTTCCACCGCCGCGCCACCCACCTCCGAGTCCACGCCCGCTCCTGCCCCTGCTCCCGCTCCCGCCCCCGCCCCAGCACCAGCGCCCGCCCCCGCCCAAACC